TTTTTTTTTTTTTTACCATTACAAAAGTTTATTTTACAAAAAGGTTCAATATGAAAATGCACATGACCTGACTTTTATATTGTAGGAAAACAGGTGCTATGGAGAGGGGACATGTAGAAGCAGAAATCAACTGATTTCTTCCAGTGAACACACCCATTGTTTATACTTGTTCCAAAGCTCTAACATGATACTATTTCTTCATATCATCACCATTCCAATATTGTTCTGTTGCCCACTGGTTGACATCTCCACACATTTCATCTGTCACAAGATTTATAAAGGGATCAAACCCCCGCAATATTTTTTGGACACGTCTGCCAACCTTTCATTTTTTTTTTTTTTTTTAAAGTTCTCCACACCCAGCATAGAACCCAATGTGGGGCTCAAACTCACAACCCTGAGATCAAGATCTGAGCAGAGATCAAGAGTCAGATGCTTAACAGACAACCACACAGGTGCCCCTGCCACCATTTAATCTCAATGATACATAAATTGTACATAAATTTTTCAACTCAGATGGGTGAGCTTTGCTGTGGTACCTATTTGTTAGCTCAAAGATCCATACTTTGATTCACTTTTGAAGGCTCTATTCTAACACATGCAAGAGAACAACTAGGTATGTGCAACTGAGAACTCCAAGAAAGATCTAGAGATCTCAAACAAAACTGGAGCCAGCAAATGTAATGCTACTGTAGTCTTAAAAAGGGAATTGTATGACAAGTTATAAGAATATGACATATAGATACCACTGTGTCAAAGGTCAGGCCATGGTAGACACGTTTGAATTTTGTCTAGTTCAAGAGCGGCTCTCTAAAAGTGATAAAAGGAAAAGGGTCCAAGGAGTATAATGAAGATCATTAAAAGAAGAAAAGTAAGATTCACAATGAAAGCTTTAAAGAGCTTGGAGTAATTCAGTCTAGGAAAACTATTTAAGAACAAACTTGGGGCGCCTGGGTGGCTCAGTAGGTTAAATGTCCAACTTCAACTTCAGCTCAGGTCATAATCTCAACAGTTGGGTTTGTGGGCTGGAGCCCTGCGTCGGGCTCTGTGCTGACAGGTTAGAGCATGGAGCCTGCTTCAGATTCTGTCTCCCTCTCTGCCCCTCCCCTGCTTTCTCTGTCTCTCAAAAACAAATAAACATTAAAAAAAATTTTTTTAAGAACAACCTTAAAGTATATAAGAGGATTGTTATACAAAAAATGTGATGACCTTTATTTCCTTCTTTCACTAAGGAAAAGACAAAGAAAATGGATTCATTCTACAGGAGGAAGGATTAGGTTAGCATAGAAAGTCATCAGAGCCTTATTAAACACCAAATGGTAGTTGCAGCAAAAAGTCCTCCGAAATTTTTTTAAAAAGCTTTAAAAGTTAAAGCTTTAAAAAGCTTTAAAAGGATAGTATAAAAAATTCCTTCACCCAGATTCACCAATGTTATCATTTTGCCACATTTGCTTTATCATTTTCTCTCTTCTGTATGTATATTTACAATCATTTGAGAGTAAAATTATTTATATGAATCCCCCTTTATCCCTAAATACTGGGTATTTCCTAACACAAAGCACATTCTCCTGCCAAGCCACAGTAGTATAAAAATCAGGAATTTAACAGATACAATACCATTTTTTAATCTATAGCCCTTATTCAAATTTTTCCTATTGTCTTAATAATGTCTATTAAATTAAGAAAAAAAAAAGTTTTCAGGTCCAGGGTCCATGTTGCATATAGTTGTCATGTCTCATAAATTTCTTTAACCTGAAATTTGAAGACTGAGTTCTTCAGTCTTTGTTCTTCCCTTAATACTGGCAAGTTATGTAGCCTGTCTTGCAATTGGGTCTCTGCTGCTTTAAAAAACAAAAACAAAAGAAACAGATTCTCATTTGTTTTGGGAGTTTTAGGTGTGGTCTTGAGTGAAGATCACTGGTAAATGAGCCATTCAAGGCTCCTTCCAGCCATTTCCTACTGCTTATTGTTACTAAACCAGAATTATTCTAGATGGTGAGGATAGACAATAAAACATATTTGTATTCAGAGCTGCAATGTATTACGTAGATTTTGTTTCCTTGGCACTCCTGTATTTTATGAGAGTTTAATGTCTTTAACAAAATTAGGTTTGGTGAAGAATTAGCACCTACTCTTTTTAAACACTTGAGACTTAAATTCCCGGTAGACTACCATTTTCAGAATTTCGCCTTCGCAGTGATGAACTATGCCCTCGCTAGGAAACAAGAGCTGCAAAGATGGGTGGGTGTCACTCATTAAAATCTTTCAACAAATATTTGTTGAGTGCCTCGTAGGTGTCCAGCTCTGTTCCAACCCTGGGAATACATTAGAGAACAAAACAAAATCCCTGCCCTTGTAACCTAATTGTCCAAATTTAAATTAAAAAAATCAGAGCCCAGGCACCCGACTTCCTTAAACAGGAAGAAGCCAAGCTCTGAAAAGGGGCAGCTCGGTGATTCAAATCGAATATGGATAACGCCGCGGAATCCCCGACAAACGCGCGGATAGTAAAGTTCCCAGTTTATCCAAACGCGCTATACAAATGATTAATCCGAAGACCAGAGGCCACAGAGGACAGGCGGAGCAGGATTTCAGAGCCGTTCTAACCACTTTCTCAGCCACAGTCCGCCGTCCCGCCTTGGGCCTCCGGGCGGTCGCGGCTCGCGCTCGGGTCCGCCCCGCAGGGGCCACGCACCCAGCCCCGCGTCGCCTCCAGGCGGCACCTCCCGACCCAGGCAGAGCCGAGCACCTGGGAACCGCGCATCGAGAACGCCCCGCGGGGAGGCGGCTCGGGGGAACCGGCTCCTCCGGCGGCCTCGCCCACTGCAATGCAATCTGGGTGGTTTTTCCAGGTCCCTCCCTGTCTTGTTCCGCGCCCAGTCCCTGCCCCCGCAGCGCCTGCGGGCCGGGGAGCGCGGCTCGGGGACCGGGGGTGAGGGGCGAGCCCGCCGAGAACCGCGGGGGGCGCCTTCCCCACCACGCACTCTGCGGTCCAGGAACTGAAAGCACTCGCCCCTGGAGCTCGAGCTGCGGACGAGGATGGCCCCGAGCACTCTCGTGGGCCGGTGAAGCGCTACCTAGCCCCAGCCTCCGCCCGCTCTCTGGGGACGCGAGCTGCTACCTGCGCCGCGGGCGGCAGCGCCTCCGCCCGCACAGTCCTGCCGGGAAACGCAGCGGCGCGGCCCTGGGCTCCTCAGACTCCCTCCTCCCTACCCCCGGAACGCTCAGCCGCTCCCCACTGTGTCCGCGCTGCCTCGCGACGGGGAAAGCGCGCTCTCCCGCCTTCCCGGACACGCATCCCGATAGGTTCTCAGATCTGTACCCGGAGCGGGTTCCGGCAGTGACTATATATATGCTTGCCCGATTTCACACCATGAACACAAAGGGCTGGACACCTTGGGCCCAACTAAGTAATACTTCGGACCGATTTCGGTTCTCCAATAATAGATAAGTTGGAAACATAAAACTCCAGGAAACGTCACCTCTGGCTCTTTCCTCTCCCACGTCAACAGGTCCCAACCACATTGCCTTCTGACTTGGTGGCTGGGTGGCGATAGTGGGCGCATAAGCCTCTGTGCAGACCTAGCTTAGCGAGAGAAGGGAAACTGCTCGCAAAGTTGGCCAAATCGACACATAAGTACAAAGGCAAAGGTATGAGGAGGGACGTAGGGGTCAGAACTGGGAACTGAGGGAAAGTTTGCTTTGGCCTGATTTAGGAAAACATTAGTGTGTATGTTTTATTTAGGGCCCAGAGCAAAACAAAGTTTGTGGGCCCAGCCATGGAGAAGGTTCTAGTCTCAAGCTAGCAGCCAGAACCAAACAAGACGTGGCAATTAAGAAGTAGAAGAGAGACAAGGAAGTGGGGTCCATTGTGCCTAAATTTCCTCGCGGGGACTCCCTGCTCCGTAGCGCGCAGCCTCTGCGCCTTTGGGCGAAACTTGGTGGCTGGGCGTGCTGCCCCGGGCGTCTGGCTGTGTCTCCAGAAGGTGGGTAGCGTCCCGGGGTTTGGAGGAGCTCAGGCCTGGGCTCTGGCCGGGAGAGAGGGAGGGCCCACAAGGTTTCACCTACTGTTTGCACTTAAAGGTGTGTTGGGCTCAGGAGCGGCTTTCCCGGTGCTTGGCAATTGCCCCTGCCGCTTCCCGGCTATGGTTGGCCGGTGCCTCCCTCCGCGGTTCGCCCTCTTGGGGCGCCGGGCCCTGAGCAGTTCCGCACCCCAGGCTTCACCTCTGGCCTCTTTTCTCCTTCCTGCGCCAGGCCTTTTCCCTTGACCCTTTAGAACCCCCGGCTTAGTTCCCCCACAGTCGACATTTTTCCAAGCCCCCCATCCCTCTCGATTACCTCCAAAGGGGTGACCCCCCACAAGCGACTCCGGCCCTCCCCTCCGCGCCCTTCACCCCTCACCCTTTTCCCGTCTGGCCTCGGCTACCCTTCGGGTGGCAACCGCCTCTTCCCCGCCCCTCACGTCTCCCCCTCCTTCCTTCTCGCCCTCCCGTCTCCATTCATCCAGCCATTGTCTCCCGCCCCCTCCTCCCCTTTCCCCAGGCGGCCTCCACCCCCACCGCTGCCACGTCGTGGTTTGAAGGAGCCAATGGGCCGGCGCCGCCAGGTGTCTCTTACCTGCACCACGTGGGGGAGGGGGAAGGGGCGGGCAGGTAGAGCCACATCCCAAAACAGAAAAGCTTTCAGCCATTGCGCGCTCCACCCGGGGTGCAGCCCAGCTCCTGGCTTTTTGCATAGACGCACGGGCAATTGAATACAAAAAGGGCAGGCCTCCTGCGCCCTCCTTCCCACCCCCTTCCTGCCCAGGGTGTGGAGCACCGACCAGGTGTGGGCTAGGGTGGTTGGTTACCGCCTTTTGCACCGGCGGCGGCGAGGAGGGGGGGGCGGGCGCTCTTTCTTCTTTTTCTCTTGGAAGAGGTTTTAGCACGGGTTTTCTCGTTCTCACTTCCACCCCGCCTCACCGCCTCCCGACCCCCCTCTCCCCCTCCCCACCTATCGTCATGACGGCGTCTCCGGATTACTTGGTGGTGCTTTTTGGGATCACTGCTGGGGCCACCGGGGCCAAGCTGGGCTCTGATGAGAAGGAGCTGATCCTGCTGTTATGGAAAGTCGTGGATCTGGCCAACAAGAAGGTATTCCTCCAGATTTCTGTCCAATTGATAGGAGTGGGGCAAGAAGTTTATTGTAGAAGTTTGGAGAGTCGGTAAACAAGTGCTCTCGTTTAGCCACTTATGAGGCTGGACCCGAGGCCTACAGAATCCAGAGTAAAACCAAACTTGTTGGCCAACGGCCTGGGAACCGTTTCAGTAATCTGAAATCTGGCTCAGGTGGAGCGGCCGGGCGCAGCCGAGCCAGGTTCTCTGCCCGTCGGGGGACGCCCCGCGGAGTCGGGGTGAGATCCTTGGGGCTCGGGTTCCCACTTCTGGGCCTTTCCGACCTGATCCGGGTGGGGGTGGGGCCGGAGGCAGGGCCGTGCCGACCTCTCTGCCACCGGAGCCGCTCGCGACGAGTGAGCTTTGATTCTGTGGCCAGAACCCTGCAGCCGCGCTGGCCGCCCCAGCAGGGGAGCGAGGAAGGAGGGTGAATATGGAGGCTTCCAAATTGAGGAAGGGGGAAACTGACCCCAGTTTCTTTCCGCCCTGGAGGTGGGACAGTTGCATGAAGTGCTAGTTAGACCGGATCAGTTGGAGCTGACGGAGGATTGTAAAGAAGAAACGAAGATCGACGCGGAAAGCCTGTCCTCCGCGCCGCAGCTGGACCAAGCCCTTCGACAGGTGACAGACAGCCTTGGGCCGCGCGGTCCACCTTTATCCAGGCCACTCCGGCGTCCCCCGCAAGGCAGCCCAGCCACACCAGGTCCCACGCCCTCGCCGGCGGGTCCACGCACATCCCCGGGGCAGAGTGGCAAGACGCCCAACCGCGTGGGTGGAAACCCGGCCTTGGAGGCCGAGGTGGACCTCTTGGGAGGAGGTCGCTGCTCCTCCAAGCCTCCCAGCCCCTAGCGTCGTGGGCCCAAACTCGCTAGTTTTCGGGTCTTTCCTGGGGCTTCAGGAGCAGTCGGGTTTTACCAATTGAGGAGCAGAGGTTGAATCCTAGCGCCCCCATCCCGAGGCCCAGACGCCCGACGCGCCCGTCCTCTGCGGGGCTTTGGGTGTGTGGCTCAACGCTAGGACAGAGGGCGCTGTAGTGTAGATGAGCGGGTGGGCCCGGCGAGGCGTGCCAGAGGCGGCCCCAGTTCGGTGGGAAGCTGAGGGTGCCTGCTTGGCTTCAAGCTTCTGAACTCCTCCTAAAGGCTCGGTTTGGGTTCCCTTATTACTTCTTCAGTGGCTTTGATCCTAGCTGGGGAGGGCTTGCAGACCCGAAGACGTAGGACTGATCGTTGGGTCACTGTGAAACTGGTGGAATCCCCTTAACAGAATTGAGGTGACCTAAAAACCTGCTGCTTCCTGGTTCTGACGGGTACTGGATCAGGGATAGGGCGGGGCGCTAAACACCTGTGCACAGGTGCGTGTCCGGTGCTCTCTTGGCCTGTGCGCCAGGACACGAGGTGCGAATTAATAGGGGAAAGTTATCATTTGGGATTGTGTTCCAGGGAAAGTGTTGCCAGACTTCCCAGAGGTCTGTATACCCATTAACCGCCTTTGCTTATCAGAAACTGGCATCTTTCTTAATCTTGAAACATCCGAACATAAAATAACACCAGGGAATGATGTAATCTGAAGGCAACCTGCTGATGAAACGAGACCCGACTTAAAAGTCTTGAATGTGGATTTAGCGCAAAAGTAGACGGGGGCACTGAAGGGAGAATGTCTATACTAAATTCTCCTGCGGGTGAACTGTGGGTTGATTGGAAAGCTAGTCAATCCAAAGGATTCTAGATAGCTTGTGGGAACGGAGCCTTTCTTTCTAATGTTGCCCCAGCACTGGTGTCCTCTTTTATGGCAGCGTGGTTTTCGTTGGTTACCAACACGTGGGGCCACTTTGCCGGAGTTTGTAAATCCTGCTTAAGTTGCATCCCTGTGTCTTGTTTACAGTTTAACCAGTCAGTAAGCAATGAACTGAATATTGGGGTTGGAACTTCCTTCTGTCTGTGTACTGACGGGCAGCTTCATGTCAGGCAAATCTTGCATCCTGAGGCTTCCAAGAAGGTAAGAGTGCTGGCTTCTCGGAGAATGATTGGACCTTCCTTTGGGGGTGACTGGAGGCTTTTTTTTTTCCCCCCATGGTTTATCCAAGTTTCTCCATTTTAAAAAGATGTGTGTCGGGAGTTATTGTTTCCTGGCAGAATTTCAGTTTGAGAAGATAACAAAGGAATAGTGGTAATGGTGTCACAACAGTGTGAGATGTAGTTAATGCCACTGAACTGTAAATATTGTGTTGTGTATATTATTGAATGTTAAAATGGTGAATATTGTGTTATGTATATTTTACCACAAAAAAAATCATGACCCTTTAATAGAGATCTTTGAGATTGCAGTAATTTTATAGATACCCTCTGGTGACTTAACAAAAGTTTCTCTTTTTGTTTTATGTTAAGTTTTTGAGATGGTTGCCATTCCCCCTTTTCTAAGCATATTAGCTGAATTTTGACATTTAAAGTAACAGCAAGTAGGCAGGAGAGAACATTTACTTTTAAATTTTAAGACATTGTAATATTCCCTTCTGTAGAAAATGCTTTATCCTAGAAAGGAAGGAGCAAAGAAAAATAGTTTAATTAAACCTTGTTAATCGTAACTAATTTCATTAAAGAGCTTTGTACTGTGTAAAGACCTAGTCATATAACTAGTGAAACATTAATTATAGCATACTGCACTTTGACTTAAAGTAAATATTCAAAGCTGATTAAATACTGTATCATAACAGTAGGGTCAGCCTTCATCTTTTACCTTTGCTGGTCTTTCTGACATAGAAAAGGGTATGGAGTGAAAAAAACATAATCTTACTGTAAAAATGTGACTCCTCTCTGGGAAGAATACTGAGGGGGCTGTGGGGAAATGGAGACAGCAGAGGGCAGCCCCAATGTAGCCAATCATTGCTAATATCGTTGATCTTATCAACTTAATTAGTTTGAGCTGTAACTTTTTATTGTGGTAGGCAAATACTGAACTTGAAAAGATGAAGTATTTTCAGGAAACTGGATGAAGCAAGTCTTCAAAGAAAGATTCAGACTGACAATTGATGTCCCAAGTATAGTGACTAGTCAGTACAGATTTTTCTTTTTACCGCACTAGGGAAATGGAAAGAAAGGAGTTAAATATATGATGACAATTTCAAAAATTCAAGGGAGAAACTCAAGTTCCTAGATCTTAAAGGTTGAGAAAATCACTCCTCTTATAGCAACTTTTGTAATAACTTGGCTAAAGGGGTGGGCACGGGGAGTGTTTTTTGTTAATTAAATGTTAGACCAGTTGCTATCCCCTTGATCCAGAAATAGACGTATGAGGATTTTTTTTTTCCCCTTTCAAATTCTTTTGGAGAGGGCTAAAACTTAATACTTTCCCTATTTGGCTTGAGGAAAACAGCTGTTTTTGTTATTTTAGATGGGCTGCTTTAAAATGTGGGGAAACCTCCAGAGAACAATTGAGACATTTTCCTGAATCACTTCTATTAGGATTTTCATAAAGAAACCTGAACCAACTTAGTATCCTAAAACCAGAAACTAATTTAGTAACATAAAGGAATTCTATTCATGGCAGGGGGGAAGGGGGAGAGAAAATGGTAAAACATAATAATCCTGCCATTCAGAAAACAATATTATTATTTTTCTCTAATATGAACATATTTGAAAATATTCTTCCAGGTTTTTGTAGAAAAGCCTCATTTTTACAAGGAGCATTCATACTACACACACTTTTTAGCCTATTTTATAATTAGTATAACATCAATATCTTTTGTAGGAATTAAATGTTAAGTATTTTTAAGTGGATACAGCTATTTAAAATCTTTTATTGTAAAATGTGAGTTATCAACAGGTTTTAAATGAACATTTTTGTAGATAATCCTGAAGATTTCACCATTTTTTTAAGTAACTGTTTTGAAAACTCTGACCATGGTACAATGATATCTATTTCATTTTTTTAAAGATTTTATTTATTTTTTTGTGAATCTCTACACCCAACATGGGGCTTGAACTCACAATCTCGAGATCGAGTTGTAGGCTCTACCAATTGAATCAGCCAGTTGCCCCTGCCAGACATCTATTTTAATTATAGCATGAGCAGGTGTACATCTGATAGATCCAATGAGGAAATCTGAATAGAAAGAGACATTGTATAAATGTTATGGTTGCAAACATTAAGTCTTTATTTCCTTGACTTTCTAATGTATAAGTAGGTAGGAATTCCCAGTAAATCAACAGAAACTATTTTGAAATTGTAAGAAAAATCTAAATTCAGTTTTAAATTCATCTTTGACAGTTATTTGATGGGGCTTTTTTCTACTAAGGGAAACAAAAATGCATTAGTACAATATTTGCCCAGACAGTTGAACTTGCTTAATAAGTATGAGAGTAGTACTAGTAGCTAAGAACAGTAGGGTAACTATTTCTTCTTTACCCTTGAGATTTGTGATTTTTTTTTTTTTTGAGTCTAATTTGAGTTCTCAGGTATAGCTAGAATATTGGTCACAAAACTAATGTGGAACTATAATTTGGCACAAAATCATGCTTTTTAGGTAATCAGGAATTTACTATCTTGCTCTGATTTTAGTATAAAAATATGAGTATTATATGAGCCTAGTATTTAACTATGTTTTGTAACAATCCTATATCTGGGTAGACACTGTAAATATAAGCATCTTTATGAGAACTGAGAGGGCTAATGTTGCTGCCTGAAAATATAGACTGTATGAAATGATTATGGCTGAAAAGAGTGTAATTTTATCAATTAGAAAATGTATGACAGCCCAACTATAGCTTCAGAAGTGTTTTGAATGGAATGTGTAATGGAACACAAATGTAATCTATTGCCTTAAAATAAGATAATTTTTTTCCATGACACTTGTATATAGGATATAATACAGTACCAGAAAATAGTCACTCTTATATTTAATTTTAAAAATTAATTTTGGTAAAATATACTCCATGCAATTCTTAGGTTCCTAATTATTAGAGAAACATTAAATTCATCGAGTTAACAGTGTCTACCTTGTCCTTCCTCAGAATGTATTATTGCCTGAATGCTTCTATTCCTTTTTTGATCTTCGAAAAGAATTCAAGAAGTGTTGCCCTGGTTCACCTGATATTGATAAACTGGATGTTGCAGCAATGACAGAGTGTATCCTTTAAGTGATTACCCAAGAATCCTTTGAAAAGGTAGCTCCAGATAAAATGGCAATTCAGGAAACTTTAAAATCCTTTTGTTAGTGTATGAATGAAATTGACCTGTCCAAAATTTGTCTACTGTGCTAGGAAGAACTAATAGTATAGTTATAGGCATCTTTCAAAGTAGCTTTTATTTTTTTTTTTTTTTTTATTTTAGAGCGCCTGCATGAGCAGGGGAGAGGGACAGAGGGAAAGAGAGAATAAGAATCGTAAGCAGGCTCCCTGCTCATCACGGAGCCTGATACAGGGCTCGATCCCATGACCCTGGGATCATGACCTGAGCTGAAATCAAGACCCCGATGCTCAACCAGCTGAGTCACCCAGGCGCCCCTCAAAGTTATGATTTAATTAATTTAAATACTGATTTAGTGTGATGGATTTAGAGTTGGATTTTTGTGAGTTGAACATATCTAAAATAGATTTCCATTTCACATTATGGGAGTGTTTTTGGTTTTTTGGTTGATGAAGAATGTGAAGACTACCTTCTTTGATAACTGATTCCAAGGCCACTTATTCTTGATTATCTTTGTTTTAGGGCTTATTTTGACACCTTTCAAATGGATATGCATTTTTTTAAATAGCGGAATATATGCTCTTTACAAACGTTTCATTGGTATTTCTTTTAACCCTCCTTGGGTTTCTCAAATACATATGGTGATTATAATGAGTCCTCTTTTGAGATGGTACAATGAGGTGGGGACTTTACCCCAAAATCCTTTCATTACCAAAATAGCATATTTGATGCAATATGCATCCTAAAAGTAAATTTTATTATCACAAATCTTGTAGTCATGAATGACTGACTCGTCATCTTTCATCCAGTAAGTTTTAAAAGTGCTAACTAACAAGCAGTCATGTGCTAACATCAGATGTGAAATTGAGTAATAGAAGGGTTGGGCAACTCACCCAAAGCCACTATGAGAACCAACTTAAAATTGCATTTAAGTTCTTTCAGGAACCTGTGGGTCATAGATGTTTATTCTTAAACTTTCTCATTTTTTAGGAGCCAAAGCCTGATTCTTGTTTTATTTCAGAATTTCCTTTCCTGATTGGAAAATGTTTGCATGTTTTTCTTAACCCCTTGTAAGCAGGTCAAACCCATTATGTCTACCTTCTTTCTGGAAGTAGTTAGCTGGAAATTTGCTTTAGCGTCCCTAGTAGTGCTGGGAGATGGATGTAGTAAGCTCATTTTGAGGGAACTTTTGTAAGAATTAAAAGGTTTGGACACCAGAAAAATTCTTACTGATTGTTTTGTTGGTTTGAATGCTGTATTAGCCTGCTAGGGCTACCATGACAAATACTATATAGACTATGTGGCTTAAACAACAGAAATTTTATTTGCTCACAGTTTTGGAGTTTGGGAAGTCGTAAGGTAGACAAAAAGAGATCCAAAAAATCAATAGATGGAGGGAAAGTCTAATAAAGTTATCTTAATTTAGAAAAAGACAATTTGAGTAGAAAAGGCAGTATGTTAAGAATTGTTTATCCTTGACAATTCAGTATCCTCTTTTAGCAAAGAAAATCTTCCCCTAGTGATTATAGGTCACATGGTAGTAAAAATTTCCACAGCTACAAGCAAGAGATGCTTATATTTGGGTTTTTTGGTTTTTCTCAGTGTGTTGACAGTTCAGGGAAAATTTATTAAAAGTTCATCCTTTTTTGGGGCGCCTGGGTGGCGCAGTCGGTTAAGCGTCCGACTTCAGCCAGGTCACGATCTCGCGGTCCGTGAGTTCGAGCCCCGCGTCAGGCTCTGGGCTGATGGCTCAGAGCCTGGAGCCTGTTTCCGATTCTGTGTCTCCCTCTCTCTCTGCCCCTCCCCCGTTCATGCTCTGTCTCTCTCTGTCCCAAAAATAAAATTAAAAACGTTGAAAAAAAAAAATTAAAAAAAAAAAAGTTCATCCTTTTTTTTTTTCTTTTTTTCTTTCTCCTTGGCTTCTTGTGACCTTCACGTGTATAAAATTTGGGGCTATTAGTAAGCATTTTCATTGTGGTGATCTGGACTTTTTACTTGCTCTCTGCTTTGCACTGGTATATAGTACTTTTTAAAATAAAATTGAATTATCTGACATTAAATTTTTTTTTTGTTTTTATATTTGAGAGAGAGAGAAAGCATGAGTAGGGGAGGGACAGAGAGAGAGAGAGAGGGAAACACAGAATCTAAACCAGGCTCTAGGCTCTGAGCTGTTAGCACAAAGCCCTACGTGGGGCTCAAACCCACGAACCTGAAGATCATGACCTGGGCCAAAGTTGGATGCTCAACCAACTGAGCCACTCAGGCACCCCTGAATTATCTGACATTTAAGTGAATAGATATAGGATGCTATGACAATTATTGTTGTTTTCTTGTCATTCAAATTAATCCTAGCTCTAAAACTATTGTTGGTGGTTCTTTTTCAAGTGCCATGAAGATGAAAATCAGAAATATTTGACTATAGTAAACAAAGAAATTGTGAATAAAGCAAACTTGGACTCCATTTCAGACATATCACACTTGGAGTATGATCTCATGGCCCTTTAGTAATGCATTCATTGGAAAAACTAAGGTATTTTCTTTTTTCAAGTTTATTTATTTTGAGAGAGAGTATGTTCAAGTGCATGAGCAGGGGAGAAGCAGAGAAAGAGGGAGAGAGAGAATCCCAAGTAGGCTCCACACTGTCAGCACAGAGCCTGATGCTGGGCTCGATCCCATAAGTCGTGAGATCATGACCTGAGCCAAAACCAAGAGTCAGCTCAATCAACTGAGTCACCCAGGCACCCCACTATTTTCTGTTTCTTAAATAGCTTAATTATATCCTACTTCCTTTGGGCTTACATTGGAAAAGTCTTAGATTTATAGTTTTATTACCAATCAGAAAATTGATTTTAATCTTAAATGTTCTTATTAATGTTTTATCTGCATATTTTTCCCCACTTAATGGGTAAGAAATCTTAAGCTTTCCTAACAGTGGTTTTTATTTTATATTGCAGCTGTGACGAATTATTTTATGACTTCTATTCAGAGGAATCATTATTTCCTTGACTAGACCACCAAAGTCCCCAGCTCAAAAAGTCATAATGGGGCTTCTAGGTAGCTCCGTCGGTTAAGCATCGACTCTTGATTTTGATTCAGGTCATGATTTCATGGTTCGTGAGTTGAGCCCCACATCAGGCTCTGTGCTAATAGCACAGAGCCTGCTTGGGTTTCTCTCTCTCTTTCTCTCTTTGCCCTTGCACTGCTCATGCTCTCTCTCTCAAATAAATAAACTAAAAAACACAATCATACCAAATATGACTATCTACTTGTCCTTATCTATGCATAAGATTTCTACAGTGTCTGGACCAAAGAGTTCTTTCAGTTCACTAGATATTTCCCTTTCTAATATGGAAATGACACTGAATTTGGAAACCTAAAGATGGTCATTACACATCCTTGATGGTTTTGCCAAGTAGATGGAGAGTCATTTGCTCCTGAGGGAATGAATACCTGTTGGACCAGGTAAACCAGCAAGGGAGGGAGAGGCTCTTGCCAACCCTTGGAAAGGAACAAGTAAGAGAATATGTAGCTTTACTTTCCTGGGAAAGTTACTTACCTTCTCCAAGCTTTACTTTGATCTCAGGTATTCCCAAATGAAAGCTTTGTAAACCACTAGGAGCTATGTAAGTGAAAAAGTATGACCACTTTGATAAAAGAAAGGGTTTAGGAATTTCTTGAGTGTGGTTCTCGTCCTTATTTTAGTGCTTATTTCCCTCTTTTGTCTTTGTGTTGGTTCTGAGACCACTTCTGGTGTTAGTTATTGGGTCTCTCTCTGAGTTCTTCAAGTTGCAGTTTTGTTACCTGCTTTTTAAATTATGCAGTCTCAGCAGACAAGAAGACCTCATTTAGCAGATGAACGATGGGTAGCATTTTGTAAGCTTTTTAATCAGGTGAGGTGGTGAGGGTGTGAAATAGGGATTGAGGCCTCAATTTTTATTTTTTATATTTGGAAGAAATTATCTTAGATTTTTTTTGGAAATTAATAGTTTTCTCCTGTGGAAAAGACCTTTCGATTATGGGACTATTTGTATAAATGACTTCTTTTATCCATTTAAAAAAAAGAACCCTATTTTCCCCCCAGTGGTGGATGGAATTACTTCCTCTTGGTTTCTTAACCTATTTTTTTCTTTGCTTTGTTGTTCATGAACTAATTTATTTTCATTAATCAAGACCTCTTCCATTTTGTTTATTTTACTTAGCCTTTGGCAAGAACTTTTTTTTTTTTAATTTTTTTTAACGTTTTATTTATTTTTGAGACAGGGAGAGACAGAGCATGAACAGGGGAGGGTCAGAGAGAGGGAGACACAGAATCTGAAACAGGCTCCAGGCTCTGAGCCGTCAGCACAGAGCCCGACGCGGGGCTCAAACTCACGGACTGTGAGATCATGACCTGAGCCGAAGTCGGCCGCTTAACCGACTGAGCCACCCAGGCGCCCCGGCAAGAACTTTTTAATGAAGTCTGGCCTTGTAAGGAGAGCAGTGAGCACTTGTGAGTTAAGTGCTTACTGTATGCGCCTCCAGCAGCCTTATAACCAGTGGGGGAGTGTTGCCCCCTTTTTACAGCTGGGAAAACTGAGGCTTAGAGTTAGAAGTGTCAGCATTTGAGCCAGAGTCCTTCTGAGGTAAAAACCGTGCTCCTTAACTAGGGGGTAATATTTGAGAATTTACAGAGCTCACTTGAGGGTGGTGTTACATGTTTAAATAGATGATCTCCCTTGTAAATTTATATTCTGTTTCCTGAGCACGTGTTGAACTATTCAGCAAGAAAGAGGAGTGAATAGAAATTTTGTAAAATTTTTATCCAGTTGGATCCGTAGGTGCTGTTTATTATTAGCAAATGCCATTTCACTAGTACAGCTTTCTATTATCAGGATAAAAAAAAAGTCACTAAACCACTCTTGTCTGCCTGTCCAAGGGTTAGTAGGGGTGTGTGTGTTTCA